AGTATCAGTGTATATATTGTGTCCCTTTAAATTGGCAGGAGTTGTAAAATGGACAAGAAAGCCAGGCAGCCAAAGCCCAGCTTCCCTTGAGAGCTGGGAGACTGGATCTTCCTCTCAGATGGGAACTGTGGCATGAAGCTCCAACTACTTCAGAACCCAATTCCTTGGGGGCAAGAAGCCCCGGGCTGCTTTCCACAGCTCCCAGAGGGGAATGTGAAGGAGAGAAGCCCTGGGCAGCTTCCTCCAATTCCCGTTGTGGAATAGGGAGCGGGAGGGGATCAGTTCCTTAGGAGTCCGCTAGCATGTGGGGCAACTGAGTTCCTGGCAGGTCGCTGCTAGCTGAGATGAGAGACTGGGCCTCAACTCCCTACTCTACCCTTCTTAGGTCAATGGAAGTGTTCCTAGTGAGGATGCGCATCACTGATCCTAGAAGGATAGTGTGGCTATGCAAAACCACAGTAATTACAGTGGAGGCTGTCAGCTGACTTAATATAGTTTTATTTACATTTCTAGTGTAAACATACCCAAGCCCATGCACCTCTGTGCCAAGTGATAAAAGTGGTACTTCAAATATAGATTCTGTGTTTCCCTGGACCTGCAGACTGCATGTATTTCCTTTAGTCATCCTGACCATGTACTTACTTTAGAATCAAAGTCTTTGCTTCCTTAATTATGATGAATTAGAGATTTTTGTCTACTGCTATCTCAGCCATTCTTCAGTTATATTGCATTAGAGCTATTCAAGTTTGCTAATGTGCTTTCCAGCTTTCAGTTCTTTTTAAGGCCCAGGACTGTTGCAATGAATACACAGACAACTTCTATAATCTAGTGGCACATTTTAGTAGTCTCTGTCACTTTGAGAGTCTTTAAGATGGTGGTGTCCAGCCACTATAGTGGCTAACGCTATATCCACATTCTTGAAGCCAACTAGCCACACTCAACTGGTGTGTTGGACACCACAGCTTTAAGAAATATAGATCCTTCAGCCCTTACTTCAGGTTATAACTGGGCAGTATGTACTTTGATGGTTATCAGTACAGAGAAATTGATCCATCAACAAAATACTGTAACACATCAACTGGCTGGAATCAAAAACCATATGTCTGGTTCTGGAGGAATTAAGCCCGAAGGGGAAACATTTATTTGTCTGTTGCCAGTTGTGCTGTAATCCCATAATGCTGCTAGACCGGTACCAAGCAGTGTCTAATGTAGGTTCTTGCTACCAGTATGATCTAATAGGACTTATACATCTATCCCACCCTCCTAATAGCTGACACCTTAAATTTTAAAGTGAACTGTCTACTGGCATAGGTAGGCAAGTTATCCATCCTCACTTTTCTTGGTTTGTTTATTCCTATCCCATTCTCTGGTAATCTGGTGTCACAGATTAGAAAGTAAGTGCCATAGATCTTTTTTTCTTACTGGCTGCCCTCCCTTTTTAATTTGTTTAACTTCTGGTATACTGGTCAACCATGTAGATGAATTCATAGGATTAGGGAGAAAAACTGAATGAAGATCTGGATAATGTACTTCACAGCAAGACCCTACATAACGTAGGACTGGCTCTGCTACCAGTGTCATCTCCATGATGTGTTACTGTTTAGTCCTCACATAAGAACAGCCATACTGGGTCAGACGAATGGTCCATCAAGCCCAGTATCCTGTCTGCCAACAGTGGACAATACCAGATGCTGCAGAGGGAGGGGACACAATAGGTAATCCTCATCTGATCCCTCCCCTGTCACCTACCTCCAGAGAAACAGAGGCTGGGGACACCATTCTTACCCATCCTAATAGCCATTGATGGACCTAACTTCCAAGAATCTATCTAGCTCTTTTTTGAACCCTATTAAAATCCTAACCTTCACCACATCCTCTGGCAAGGAGTTCCACAGATTGCCTCCGCACTGAGTGAAGAAAAGTTTCCTTCTGTTTGTTTTAAATCTACTACCTATTAATTTCATTTGATGACACTTATTTCTTATATTGTGGGAATATGTAAATAACTTTTCCTTATTCACTTTTTCCACAACAGTCATGATTTCCACAACAGTCATGACCTCTATCATATCCCCCCTTAGGGTACGTCTACACTAGCCCCCAGATCGATCTAGGGAGGATAATGAGGGCGACTGAAATTGCAAATCAAGCCCAGGATTTAAATATCCCATGCTTGATTTGCATGTTCCCGGCTGGTCGCCATTTTAGAAATTGACTAGCCCGAGTAACTGCCCATGTCTACATGTGGCAGTGAAACGGGATTCCAATTTAAAACCCTACCTTGAATTAGCTGGTATTCCTCCTGCAATGAGGTTTACTGCATGTATTCAGTTAAATATATTGATGTGATAGTTTCTGTGTGTGTCACTAAAGGGAATATGAAAGAGGTCTATAAAATCACAACTAATATGAAGAAAGTTATTTGTTCCTTCCCATAACACAAGAAAGAGGGGTCACCAAATTAAATTAATTAGGTAGCTGGCTTAAAACAAAAGGAAGTACTTCTTCGCCCAGTACACAATCTGTGGATCTCTTTGACAGAAGATGTTGCAAAGGCCAAGACTATAATAGGGTTCAAAAAAGAGCTGGATAAATTGATGGAGGATAGACCCATCAATGGCTATTAGCCATGATGGGCAGGAATTGTATCTTTAGCCTTTGTTTGTCAGAAGTGGCAAATGATTGACCGGGGATGGATCACTTGATCTGTTCTGTTCTGTTCATTCCCTCTGGGGTCTCTGGCATTGGCCACTGTCAGAAGACGGAACACTGGGCTAAATGGACCTTTGGTCTGACCCAGTATGGCCATACTTATGTACTTTGAGTATAAAAATATACTTTTTCTTGTTTTGAAAAAATTAAATAGGTCTAAAGTGGTGAAACTGGACTTACAATGTTACTTAATGCCCTTTTTAGTACCCATTGAGGAAGGGGGCATCTAGAAGTCATTGTATTGATTGTGAAGGACAAGAGATTATTATAATGTGCCACCATGTTATCTCTTCGGGAGACTATTAGCCAAAGGTGCCATTTTGGGAAGGTAGCCGTGCGCTCCGGGATGCGGCTTACTTCACCAGCCGGGGTGAGGGGCCTGCACGAATGAAAGTATTTTTCCCTCACTCCCTTATAGTCCAGGGAATGGGAGGAAAAGCAAGCTGCGTCCTGGAGTGCACAGCTGCTGCCCCTTCTCACCCTTCTAAAATGGCGCCTTTGCTGTTAGCATGGTCAAGTTCTTCCTCTGAGCTCTCTGAAGTATAGTAAATTCCACTGGTTATCAAACTTGATCCTTAAACTTCTAACTTTGTCCTTAAAAGAGGCAAGTAAGAATCAGTCCCTGATAGGGCTTAGTTTATTTTTTCCTCTCATCTCAAAAGTACAATTAAGGATTTGAAAATATAAAACACTAAGTAAATACATATTTTTCTTATTACTGAAGAAGAAAATCCACACGAGTCATTTTGATTCTTGAGAGAGAAGTAAATTTTTACTATAACAGCAATTCAGTCTATTGAAATCAAGAACTCATAAAAATGAATCCATTGAGCCAGCTTTTTATAAAGATAAGGCAGTCATGCAAATATGTTTTGATTGAAATAGGATTTCAACTATCAATCACCTTGACAATAATCTTCTCACATCCACTTTGAAGCATCTTAGAGACCTTATTTTATAAGTCACTGGCTTCTTACCTAATGTAGATAAATCTTTCATTTGATACTATAGCTTATTTGTGCTACAAAAAACTGTATAAGAATGTCTTAATACACTTGTTATGATTCACCATCAGGTTGTTTGGATTAAAATCTTTATTTAAACTAATTTCTTATGTAAGGAAGAATGTAAAACCATAGTATTTGCTTATTTGTTTGAGTCATAGGAACTTTGGAAAATTGAGCACACTTGGGTTACTACAGTGATTTGACCACATAAATATAGGGAGAATAGATGTTAGCTACTCATATCCTTATGATTTGTGAATAAATTGCAAAAACATTAATCTCTCTCTACCTCTTGAAAGTAAAGAGAATCTCCCTTAGAATCAACTACTATAGGCAAGGTAATTACAAAATGATAAACTTGTTAGCAGGTTTGCCCTACTCTCTACATTATTAGCAATTACCAGAATATTTAAAAAATGAATATGTCGGTTTTTGAGGTACTATTCCCTGTTTAGCTCTTTCATATGCATGTTAATTTTGACATATCATGAAAAATCCTGCCAATGTAACTACTTAAGCTTGAGTTTTCTTCTCTAATCTACAGAAATTTGCAGCTCATTCTTTGTAGATTGTGACATAAAGCCAGTCGGCCAATGCTTACTTTTCATATTTTTCAGATGTTACAATGGCAAGTGAAACATTATGGTTCTCCCAATACATCAGTAACAACATTGCTTAAACATTTATGTACATTAAAATGTTATATCATCAGATATTAGTGTAAGAAACTCAAGATGAATATTTAACAAACTGATTTGTAACTGGCAGGGTATTGGAATGATCTGTGTTGTCAGAGGTATACTCAAATCTTTCCACAATAGCACTCCATGCTATGTGATATGCAGCAGCAGAACAAGTTGCTTGCTCAACCTTCAGGTTGTAGTAGTAAATAACAGACATATACTGATTATTCATTTATATAATTAAATTTGAGCTTTGTGAATAATTTATTAAGTTAATTTTACCTCTTTCCCCTTTTGGGATTTGTCCATAAACAGCTTTTTCTTTTTTTTCTTTTTCTTTTTTTATGTTTGAAAGAATTTGCCAAACAAATTTTAGGTTAGGCTGTACACAAAGGAAAACAGTGTGGCATTGAATAAAAGAAGCCAATTATTAAGTAATTTTAGTGGATTTCAAAGCTTACTAGTTTTATGTTTGAAGAAAAAGAGTTTATGCTAAAAGAATGAGAGGGTTAGTCTGTTACTGAGAAAGTAATTTGAATTATGTTTTTTTTACTACTGTCTCTGGCTATAAATGTATATTTCCTTTGAAATGTTCTAGGATCCAGCGCAATCTTCTGGTTTCCATCCTTCAGGGTCAGTTGTTGCAATAGGAACGCTAACTGGAAGGTAAGAAGAAGAAAAGCAGGGGTATCAGTCAACAGAGGTTATCTGTCCATCTCACCAAATCAAAGTTAATATTCTTATTTCTTCAATGACAGTGCCAAATTCTGCCCTCTGACCCCTATACAAGAGCTGAATGTATTGTTGGTGATGTTTATTATTATTTGTAATGCTATCCTGCCTAACAGCTTTAGTCATGGATCAGGCCCCTACTGTGTACAACAATGTACAAATAGAGAAATACAAGAAGGACTATCCCCAATAAGCTTACGATCTAAGTATAAGACATGATATACAGATGTATACAATCAGATAGATGGATGGGAAAGTTATAGGAAACAATGAGGCCGTGCTGGTCAGCAAGCAAGGGTGCCATTTTTGGTGAAGGGAGCTCATCAGCCAGGTATGAGAGGCATGCACAGAATGCAGGTACTTTCCCCTCACTCCCTGATAGTCCGGGGAACGGGATGAAAAGCACACTGCATCCTGGAGCACATGGCTGCTGCCCTCTACCTCCTGAAATAGTGCCCTTGTCAGTAGGAAAGGCAGTAGTGGTAGTGCATCAGCAGCCTAACCATTCTAAGGGATGGTTGTTTTTGTAGGCATAACAGCTAATGAGTGTTTCAAGGAGGATTTTGAAGGATGATAATGAAGTAGCTCTATTGATGTATACCAGAAGCTCCTCTTCTCAAGTGAGAGGGACAGCACAGGAGAAGACAAAAGGGGTGTGCTTGAAAATTTGCTCTTTTATTATTTGTACCATAATAATGTCCAGAGCCACACACACACACTCCCAACCAAATTTTAATCAAGGGCCCATTGTGCTAAGCACTGTGGTACAAGTACGTAGTAAGAGACAGTTTCTGTCTGAAGAGGTTAAAACTTAAATAGATAAGACTGATGATGGAGCAAAGTACTACCTCCGTTGTACATATGGAACAGTGGCCTGAAATTGCATAAGGAATCAGTGACAGAGCCTTGATTTGAACCCAAATTCTAAATTGATATAAAACCCTCCTTTCCTTCAGGAGGAGGGCAGGATTTTTTCTTAATACTTTAAATATTCACACGTCATTCTAAAATATTTTGATGACACATGGTTTTAGTAAGTATTGAAGCAACATTTATTTTGTTCTCTGTTTCTCAATAGCTAAATAAAAGCGAGATGTTTTGGGTGCAGGATTTATTTTTAATACTTAAACTGAAATCCTCATTAAAATTTAGATTTTCTTAGTGAAAATTGCACGTAATTAAATTAAATGTTAGTAAACTCTGTAAAAGGGCCTTAAAGAATGTGGTCCAATATACACAAGATACCCAAAAGTCTACATCAATCATACTTGCATATAACTAGTGTCAGTTTTTACAATGATAAAACCTGAATGTGGATATCACACACAATATTTAATTGATACTCTGTTCATCTGCTGTTGAAAATACTATTTTCAGTTGGCTATAAATAACACAGATAATGTCTCCTTCCCATTCTTTTCCTTTTTCTTCAAAACATATGGAAGACTGTTATTTTGACATAATAAACAGTTGATTAAAACCACTGTATATTTGCATTCCTTGCTGAGCAACTTACTGGCCTTTTTCTGTGTTTATAACAGGTGGTTTGTATTTGACACAGAAACAAAAGATCTGGTCACTGTACACACAGATGGAAATGAACAGCTGTCTGTAATGCGTTATTCACCAGGTTTGACACACTCTACTTACTGGTTTTAAAAAAACCTAATTGTATGCAATATAGGGTTTATTTTTTTTAATTCCCCAAATATCACATTTAAATTGGATATAGATATTAGTTGAAATCCTGCCTGCATTAAGTCAATGGAGTCAGGATTTTACCCCAAAACTTGAAGAACTAATTCTGTTTGCCCCTTCAGATCTTGATGTTTAGCAGAAATCAGCTCTTTTACTTAGATGTGCATGTAGTGTCATGTTCAGGTTGGCTTTTTTTCTAAATTTCTTTAAGGTTTAACTTAGATGTTACCAATATAAAGCTGATATTTTATTTGTAATGAAACATACTCCATCAAACAAGGAGAAGAAAACAGATTTTTTTACTTTATTAATAAAAGTTTTAAGAATAGTGCCTATTGTCCATGCCACATTAGTGCTTCCTATATTCATTTATTTCTTTATTGCAAATATAATTATAATTCACTCTTCTTATAGATGGAAACTTCTTGGCAATAGGTTCCCATGACAACTGTATCTATATATATGGTGTTAATGAAAATGGGAGAAAATATAGTAGAATTGGCAAATGCTCAGTAAGTGATCTTTTTAATACTTATTCACTAATAAGAAATAAACATTTATACTTTATAGTGTATGTTAATATACTGCGCTATACTATGTTAGTGGGATTAATACAATCCACTTCTCTTCATAGGGTCATTCCAGCTTCATTACTCACTTGGATTGGTCTGTTAATTCACAGTACCTTGTGTCCAATTCAGGGGACTATGAAATTTTATACTGTGAGTAGCAAATGGTTTTCTGTGCTTTGTGTAGAGTTGATTCTAGGATAGCGAATGAATTTTTAATTTATATAAAATCATATAATCACTAGGCTGGAACATATATTTTAATTAGTCTTCTACTTTTTAGCTTAAATCAATTCCTATCCAGTTTCAGAACTGAAAATGTCATTTGTTTCTCTTTCTGTAGGGATCCCCTCTGCTTGTAAACAAGTAGTGAGTGTTGAGACTACTAGAGATATAGAATGGGTTACTTACACCTGTATTTTAGGATTCCATGTTTTTGGTAAGTTTTTTTTTTAATTTCCCCTCTCGCAAACTTACATTATTTGCTTTTCCAGTTAGCTCACATTCATACTGTAATCTTCATTTGAAACATGGCTATTCAGATTTCAAAGTGCAAATATAAAACTTCTATTGCACATTTTTCATCACTATCTGTCCTCTGATTTCATCCACTATCTGAGTGATGTGACAAATAAGTGTTATATAAAACATGTATTAAAATTTAGAGAATTTTTTTGTATGTATTTATACCCCTACAGAACCAAAGATCCCAGTCAAGATCAAGTTCCATTGAGTTAGGTGCTGTATTAACAGTGTATAGTACAGTCCCATTGTATGCAGTTCTGTAGAAACAGTGACAGTCCCCATCCTAAAGACAGTTCTTGCCCATTCAAAAAGGGACTCTGGCAGCTCTGGTTGGTACCACTGACTGTGCCATTAGAAGTCTGGTCGGCAGTGCAGCAAGGACCAGGGACTAAGGCAGGGTCCCTATTTAACTTGACTCCGTGTTGCTCCTGGAAGTGGCTGACAGACCCCTGTGCCCTCTAGACGCTGGGACAGCCAAGGACTGAGAGACTCAGTGCACTGCCCCCACCCTGATTGCCAGTTCCACAGCACCCATTGGCCAGGAGCTGTAACCAATGGAAGCTTCAGGAGGTGGTACTGGCAGTTGCAAGGGCAGCACATGGCATATCTCTAGCTGCCCATGTACCTAGAGGCTGCCACAGGAACCTGGTGGCCCTTTTCTTGGAGCCATAGTATGTGCCACCAGGACTCCACACCCCAACCCTCTGCCCCAGCCTATGTTCCCTCCCACAGCCCATATGCCATACTCCCCCTACCCACACCCCACTCCTTACTCTAGCTCTGAACCCCTTTCCTCATCCCAAAACCCTCATCCCCATCCCAAAGCCCATGCTTCCAGTTTCCACAGTCCAGCCCCCTGACCTGGCCTGGAGCCCTCTCCCACATGCTGATCCCCTCATGTCTGACCTCATCCAGAGCCTGCACCCCAATCCCTCTTGTATCCCTCTCCTTGTCCCATCCCAGTGAAAATGAATGAAGATGTGGAAGAGCAAGCAGCGGACAGAGGTGGGGTAGAGAGGGTGTTCAGTTTTGTGCAATTAGACTATTGGCAACCCTGTCCAAAGAGCTTTCACTGTAAATTGAGATATTCTTAAGAAATGGGTGAAATGAACGAAAAGGAAAAGGAAAAGGAGGACAAATTCAGTAAAAATAAGATGTTCCAGATGTTTTTGTTTTATTGATTTGGGGTTGTAATTCTTTAAACATAAATAACAATCCCCTGTGATCAACTGTCATGGGTGGTTGACAGCTTTCTTGTAGGCCTCAAAGCACAGTTTCTTTTGAGGAGAGATTTGAAGGAGAAAAGGGTACTTGACTTTCAGATTAATTCAGGGAGAGCATTTTGTGTGTAAGGAGCAGCAAGGAAGAATTCATCGAGATGGTTGTGGGAGAATTTAATAAACGAGGCCTGTTATCATAGGATCTGAAGTGGTAGAATAGTACAATAAGAGATAAGTGTGTACAAACAGGAGGGGTAGAGTTGTGAAAGGTCTTAAAAGGTGAGGACAAGATACTGAATGTGTTATGATGAAACAGTGCAAAGAATCAAAAAAGTGATGTGGTCAGAACAAGAGACAAGAAAGATTATCCTAGCAGCCAGATTTTGAATGGAACACAGAGACGTGTTGGAGATGCACTCAAAAAAGGGAAGAGATTGCAGCAGTAAAGGCAAGGGATGTTAAAATGTGTGTATTTATATAAATGTGCAACTGCTGAAAATTTCAGCAGGTACACATTTATGCATGGAGCAGGACGGCTCCCCAGGAGCCAGCTTTTAAGCTGGATCCCCATGAGTACTGGCTCCCACGGAGCTGCCTGCCTCTCCCCATTCCCCTCCAGGCTGCTGCCTCTGTATCAGCAACATGGTGGGGTGGGGAGGCAGGAGCCAGTGCTCGCAGGGAGCTGCCTGCCTTCCCGTCCCTGCCCACAGTGCTGCCCACTTGTACGGGCTTCTGCCTGCCCCACCCCATGCTGTTGCCTTTATAGAGAGGCAGCAGCATGGGTGAGGGGCTGTGTGTAACCATGAAGGTTAACAGATGAGACCAGGAGCAAGCAACAACTGGAAATGTTGCTTCCAAACAGTGGCTACTTATCACACAGGGTTTGTAAAGCTGGCTAATTGAAAGCCAGGCTATGAACACATGAAGTTTGTCAGGATGAATGGCCAAGACAACCTGCATGGAAGGATATTGGGGCAGAAATTTCTGTAGTCTAGAGGTCCTGCCGCACGTTGTGGGTTGTGCCCATAAAAGCTCATGATACCATCTACATTTTTTGTTAGTCTCTAAGGTGCTGCAGGACCATTTATTGTTTTTTAAGTTTCTTCAGTTACAGTCTAACCCGGCTACTTCTCTGAGACTTTGTAGTCTAGAGGGACTTGCTTAATGTACAAGCTATCCTCCTTGGGACTTGGCTGCATCAGATTTGGTTAGTGGCCGTAAGATCATTTCACCGTTGGCCAAAGTATAGGTGCAGAGAGGGCAAAAAATAAGCTGAGTTAACTGTTGCTGCTGTGTCAGAATTTTTTACCATTTATTTGGGGAAATACCTTTTCTAGGGTGGCTGAGTTCATCCCAGGAACTGTTGACAGCAAGAAGGAATCTTGTGCTAAAATCCCAGAGGGAAAGGCTACAGTGGTTGTAGAGAAAATAAGAAATTGTCTATTTTTTCTCTAGCAAGGCTAGGTCATTTGCAACAAGATGGAGAGACTGAGGAAGCCAGCCCTGACCCTGAGTTATTGCCTAGCATCAGGGAGTCTGTCTCAGCTGTGGAATGTCTGGAAAGAGGCACAGGAGCAGCAGGGGGAAGGTCCAGTCTTGGGTTGCACAGAGGCATTGTGTCTTGAAGGAAAGCTTTTAGGCAGGACTGGAATCCAAGACTCCATTGCAGGGGTTATGAGACCCACAGGCCTGATGGCTGAAAGTCTACCTAATGGAAAAAGAGAAGAGAATACAAGACTTACCAGAGAAAGATCTGTCAGGACTGGGAGCTGTGTGCTTATAGCTGAATAGGTGGCCTGGAGGAGCGAGAAAGAGTCTCTCTCCATTTCTGGCAGGAGGGATGTGAAGATGGGTGCAAGATCAGTATCTATAATTCCAAGGCCCTCCCTCCCCCCACTCCCCATCAGCCACTTGGAAGGAGAACCTGGGGGTTTGATTGAAACCCCATGGATCCAAAACACACTGGTGCCACACATCAGGCTGGCAGTTCCTGTCAAAGCTAACACTCTTACTTTGAGACGGGAAGGTAAAAATCCCACTCACTTTGTGAGTGGCTGCAAATATGCTTATAAATCACCTGAGGGAAGAGGTGAGGAATATGTCAACATGGAGGGAGGTGCATTTCCATTGGAAACCCATTCCTTCCCAAAGCCTTAAAGGAGTACTTAATCTGGCACACTTTACTGAAGAAAAAGGAAAAGCTGTAGCTGAATACACACTTTGGTACTCAAAAGGTTTGAAGGGTGTAAAAAGTGGTTCCCAACTTTTTCATACCTTGGACTGGCAAACCCATTGGTGGACCAGTAACATTTTATTTGCATATTCATTATAAATTAAACGTTACCAGTCTGCCAAAATATGTACCCTGGCCCACAGAGCCACTATGAACATCTGGCCTTAGCTGCAGCAGCTGCCAAAACTGAAGCCGGCTGCTGTGCAATGGCTCTTCAGGGGGTCAGGGTGTACCCCAGCCCTGGTCCTGGAGTAGCTGGCATGGGCACGGCTTGGCAGTGTGCTGCAGCCTGGCAGCCAGAGTTCACAGCCTGGCACCGGTCTGCGAACCAGTGGTTGGGAACCACTGGGGTAATTAATGCTACACTAACAAATTGGTTTGAACAGACGTCATGATATGAAAACTATACTTGGAAACACTACTCTGCCAGTGGTTTGCTGGTGACCTTATGTATTTTCCTACAACACTTATGGATATGCATAAAGGAACTCCTAAATTGTGTAACATACATGATTTTGGGGAAAAGCTTTTGTACATACTAGGGACCTTTACATATCTATCTATATTTTTTACATCTTGATCCTACAAAGGGATATTCTTATTGAAGTCTGTGGAATTTGGGGGATCAGTACTTTCCTTTGTTGTTATATTGATAACACGAATGCTTTAAACCGGAGATGGGGAACCTGCAGCCCCCAGCTTCCCTTGATCTGGCCTGCAGTGAAATATGGGACTTCCCTCTGGTGCAGGGCAAGCCAGCACTTATGTTCCAGCCCCACAATGAATTTAAGAACCCCCCACCATGGCGTTGAAGCTCTAGTGCCAGCTCCCTGCTGTGGGGCAGAGGGGAAGCAGGGCCAAATTATGAAAGGGGCTTGAAGGGGTGTATCCCTAGGCTAAATGTGGGGGGATGCAGCCTCTAAAATCTCTGTGTGCTGCCTTCCAAGACAGCTCTGCCTGGCAGAGGAGACGAGAGGCAGCTCTGCATGCTCCTGTTCCCACTCTCCTCATCCCAGGCTGGAGCTACTCGTATTCCTAGTAGTGTAGAAAAGCTATGTGCCTGCACTCACCTGCAGGCTTTTCCCCTGCCACATCCATTGGCTGGGAATTATGGCCAATGGGAATGACTGGGGGAGGTGCCTGCAAGTGCAGGGCAGCTCAGAACCACCTCTTCCCCCTGCCAATCAGGTGCTACACCAGTAAGTGCACCCTCACCTTCCCTCCCTTCCTCCCAGATCCTGCACCCCTGGTCCCTTCCTACATCCTCCCTCCTGTACTGACCTCATAGTCCCATGCCCCTCCTGTACCTTCTCTCCCACCCCCTCTCACATTCAGCTAGCAGGGGGAAAAGAGGAAAAATCTCTTAAGTCTCTGGTGGCTTCTTCAGATGTCAGGGCAACAAACTAGATTCCTTAACTAACTTCTGACCCTCTAGCAAGTGTTTTCCTCTCTTGGATCTCCAGAGCCTGAAGAGTCTGTTCCCCTGGAAGGTCTGTCCCTGTCCCTGCCCCTTGCCTCCGTACGGTTCCCTCCTCCTACCTGACAGTGTTTCTATTGTTCCTTCTCTCCAGTAGTGAGTCCTCCTCCCATAGCTCCTGGCACTGCTGCTGAAACCAGTTTCAGCTGGTCCTTGATTGGCTCTAGGTACCCCAATCATCCTGTCTCAGCTTGTTCTAGCAAGATTTTTGATTGCCTCCAGGTGTTTCAATTAACTTGTCTCTACTGATTAATGCAGATTCTTGGTTGACTCCAGGTATCTTTATTAATCTGGCTAGACCTTGTTTAGTTACCAGGGAAACAGGGACTTGTTTAACCAGGGGCTAATATACCTGCTTTCTGCTACTTTCTTGTAGCTGATCCCCATCACAACATATATTATTATATAATATCTGAGGGCTCATATCTGAGTCCCCAATTCAACAAAACCCTGTTTGCATTCTCCCTGTTTAGCAAGGGACTTTTGCATGTCCTTCATTCCCATTCAAATTTTGGGATGGGTGCACATGTTCAAAGTTAAGTATTTGGGTCTTCTGAGTCAGGGCCTGAATCACTATAAATGTTGAGGGGTTTGAAGGTTGGTTGTTTTTAAACAGGGATGGCCTTTTCAATAATATTATGACAGAAAATTTAGCTTACATTTCAGTTCTGTATGTATAGCAGTAATATTAAATTGGTCACTACATATTTCAGGTGTCTGGCCAGAAGGTTCAGATGGAACAGACATCAATGCTGTCTGTAGATCACATGAGAGAAAACTGCTATCGACAGGAGATGATTTTGGCAAAGTACATCTCTTCTCTTATCCATGTTCACAATTTAGGGTAAGATATTTTATAGAGTACAATCTTGCAGGCCTTCACAAACATGGGAAAATTTTGTTCTTCTGTTGAGCATCAAAGAATTCGAAATCAAATCAATGGGACTTTTTCTATGCATAGGTGTGGATTTACATGTGTAAATGTGGATTGGCCCTTTAATATAGAAGTCTGCACTTTAAATAGTCTCACTTCATTGATAGAAATAAAGGGACAGGTTTTTTTTCATTGTATTTTTAATGTTATATATAATTAAATATTTGTTACAGTTATATATATTATTTATCTATAGTAATAACGTCGTGTATTGATATTTTCCAGGCTCCAAGTCATGTGTATGGTGGACATAGTAGTCATGTAACAAATGTAGATTTTCTGTGTGAAGACACCCATCTCATCTCCACAGGTGGAAAAGATACTAGTATTATGCAGTGGCGAGTTATTTAGAGGAATTATTGGTGTGAACACCTGCAGTCATGGATGACCATACACAGAAGTTCTGTACAAACTGTATATTTAAAACTTAAACAGTACATTTGCAGATTAGCCTGGTCACTGTGATTCTGTTTAAAAATTTCTTACAGACCTCAGGAAAATTAAGCCCTATGCTGGTTATCTTACTCAGATTAGTGATTCATTAAGTATCACTCCTAAAGAATGAGCTATATTTTTTTCTTTCGTTGTACAATATATGCAGCAGTACAGGTTTAATATAAAAATGTGTCTTGAAAGTTTGCAATACAGTAATATCAGCAGAACTGGTGACTGTCTTAACTGTTTTCTACAAACTCTTCTGGTCACAAAAATGCCTTTCGGAATACTGTATATACATGCTTAATTGTCTCTATGTCTTCACTTTCTCTTGTATGTCTACCACTTTAGAAAAATCTATGACAACACTGAGGTGTACTGAATTGTTTCTGATGGATGGTGATGAATTCCTACTAAAGGAATAAATCAAGCTAGAAGACACACAATAATTAATATGTTAGATATGAAAAATGTGAATGTTAGAATTCAGTCATTTGCATTTTCCAGGGAATAACAAATCTTTAAATTCCACCAGTGAGAAACTGTATTCTCTTACAAATCAGCAGGTTATGCTCCAGTTTAACTTGAATATCTCAAAAGGGTTTACAGATTTTTATCTAGTTGTATTCCATATAAGCTTAAATTAAAAAAATTTTTTTTATTTGTATATGAACAGCTTATTACAAACAAAAGCAAAACTTGACCACATCCCCACTATTGGTTAATATATTTAACTGCTATGTATATTAATCGGCATGATGCTATGTTGTACATGTATAAGATTTTAGCAGTTCATTATAAAATGTAAGGCAGTTTAGGCTTTACTTTTTTATGCTTATGGATATTGTATATTTGTATTTTAAGACCAAGTAGACCAAGTCTAAAGATATCTTTTTAAATGTACCATAAACCTGCAGAGGGAAAAGGAAGTATTGGAAGCCTACATGAAATATAAATGTGTAACTTCTGGCCCCTGTGTTTTGTGCATGGATGGATATTTATAGTATGACATAAGATTGTGTTTTCCAATGAAGTAATAGTGGAGGTGGCATAAAATGGTTAAGAAGGCCTTACCAATTTTGATTGTGAAACAGATTGAAATTTATTGTTTACCTTGAGGAATGTATCTAAAGAATTTAAAAGAGCAGAGTTATAAGCAGACTGAAAAGCTAATATTAAAGTTTTGCTTGTAATGGACAGTAAACATTTTAATTCTCTGAACTCTAAAGCACTGGTTGTTTGTTTAGAGTGGTTAAATGAAATGGAATCAATGAATTTTGAAATCTTTTTTATTATATCTCCATCCTGCTATACTGAAAGTGCAGGACAATAATAAATCATGTATTAAAGTGCTTTGTTTTGATGTATCCATCCTGTTCAGTTTAACACATTCATTTTTACATTAAAACTATACTGTGATCTGCTTTCACTTAATGGGATAAAATTTTAAATTCCAAACCAGAGGTAAATGAAATCTGAGTTTTAGGTTATGCAATTATTTGCATAGCTATACCAGGATGCTTTTGGAGATTGAGTTAATAGTTTGTTCATATAGGATGAAAGTCACGAGGACCAGGATTTCAACCAACTAGTTTATTTATTGCTTCTAACTCCTTAATACAGCAAATCATTTCAATGTTCTGCTGTTTATTTCTGTACTTTCCTTATATTGTGGAAGAGTAAGAATGAATTTAAAGAATTGATCTTTAGAGGAAAATTATCCCGGGAGGGGGGGGAGAGAGAGAGATGGTCTTTCTATGCAATCTTGCAGTTGATCCATATACATGCTTAAATTCTGTACGCTAAGTGTCATCACTGTTTTCCTCCAAATTGATGAAGAGGTATATTCAGCTTATTTTCTGGGCCCACAAAATTTCCAAACTGGTTAGTTGCTAGGTTTGGTTAAAATAAACTCCATGTGTCTGAAAGTTGTCAGATGACAACATATTAAAGTTCAAAATTATTCCTGTTTTTACATTATTGTTTTCCAAAACTCTATTAATAAAGAAATGACAAAGATAAGTTGTCCACTGCTTTCATGAATATGTCCTTTTCTCCCTATTTGCTTCTGATTATAAAAACAAAAGAAAAAAAGCCAAAACTTTAAAGCATAGCTCATTTTTAAATGAATATTCTACTTGGCTGTGTTTTCCTCTTCTGTTTGTTTTTGTATTTTTCATACTTTCTCCCTCCCCTTTCTATCTGTTCCTAGAAAGTGTCTGTCATGATGAGAAACATCTCGTCTTACTTGGAGGATTTGACTAGTTTATACTAAGGATATAAAATCCCATTTAATTGGTTAACCATTTAAATGTATGGGTGAGAGGCCTGCGGGACACCTGGGCCTACCACAGACAAAGGCTGCTCCGAACGACAGCATCCCCTGTCCGCGGTGAGCCCTGTGAGGCTGAAGTAGCTTCTTATCTGCAGCGGGGGGGGAGCTGCTCCAGCCCCCACTAGTTAACCAGAATTGTGAGCATCGCCAATTAAGGATGATGCTTACTGGTTAACTGGTTATCCTTTCACATCTGTCGTTTATACTGCTGCTAGGAAGTCACATGCTGCTGCAATGGGAGAAAAGAACTGACTCAAAAGTAGTTTCCTTTGAGATGGTTGATGGCAAGGAGTACAAGACATGAAAGATCAGGCTTGGGATAACTGCATTGCCAGAGATGTCCCATCTGTAGGATGAATTGAGGTAGCTGCCCCAGGCCTGAGCTTTTGGGGACTACCCAGTGTCACGTACCGTCACGTCTAGTCACGCGCAGGGGCTTCTCCAGTGGGGTGGTGGTGGGGCCCTTAGCCTTCGGTCGCACTAGCCAAACCGGCCCTTAAGGGGGCCTTCCGAGATGGAGGGGGACCTGAGCCCTCCCCCTCTCCAGGTCCCAGCCCAGAACCCTAAGGGTAGGCGTCATGGACACGCTGCCCAACTGGGGGAGCTATGGCCGCAACTCACCGGTCCCCGGGGTTTCCCTGACCCCATCCTGGGCTGCTTCCTCCGTCTCGGCTGGTCCTTGTCTATCCTACCCCGTCTGGCGGAGGGGCTCACCTCCTCCTGCGGTGGCGGTCCTCCGTTGCTAACTCCGGTACCCTGTCAGGTCTGGCATGGTCCCGGCGGGCCTCTGCTGGCTCGCCCCAGCTCCCCCACGTCTTCCTCCTCCTCCTCCGCTCCCAGTCGGGAGCCATCTTTTGAAGCCGGCTCCCCTTGCTGGGGACGCTGGCGCCTGCGTGCTGGGCCATCGGCCCCTCCTTCCCCGGGGCAGCCTGCCAGGGAAACAGCAGGGCCTGCGCAGGCGGCCGCCGCCGAACAGGCTCGGCAGAGCCGCCCGGGCTTCCCGGTGGCTACGCGGTCTGGTGTTCGAGTGTGGGGCGCAGGGCTAGCTTCCGCGGTCCCTGCCGCTCCGTCACACCTGGTAGCCATCCAAATGTCCTATGGACAATAGGGACCCAGGAGATTATAAAGGCCTAGTGCAAGGCAACAGCAGGAGTTGTATCCCGCACTCACCACATGGGCATTGGGAGCTGAGCAGCCTGGCACCCTGCTCTACTCGACATTGCCATATCACCCTTCAAGCCCTCTCCACTTGGCTTCTCCACGGTTGGGGGAAGCAGAGCACCCCAGCCCCAGGGCACTCTTCCCCGAAGCTGCAGAAAAGCAGGGTGCAGCGGGCTGGGAGAGGATAGCAGGGTGGAGAGGGCAGGCTGCTGGACTGCTCTGGCTTCCGCCACCTATGCGGTGGTTGGGGAGGTGGCCATTGCTGCCACAGAGCCAGGCCCCCATAATTCTCTGGGCTGCTTTGCTCCTGGAAGGAGAAAAGAGGGAGGAGTGGGGCGGCACTTGGGGAAGGGGTGGAGCTGGAGTGGGGGCAAAAGTGGGGCCTGCAGCAAGGGGGTTGCCCCGTGCCTGGGGCACTAGGAGGAGCGTTGCCCCAGGCCCCGCACCCTCTTTGGGATGGCACTGTGCATTGCAGTTACCTGAATTCTCTGGGTTGAAATCTTGCTTCATTGAAGTTGATGGGAATTTTTCTTTCAACTTCAACGTAACCAAGTTTTCAGCCCTTAGAAGATCAACAGATTTGTATATGAATATATGGCCTGTGTTATGTAGGAGGTCAGATGAGACGATCACAGTCATCCCTTCTGGCCTGATTATTTATGAAAATAATAGTTCAGTTTAATAAGCTACTTTTACTTAAACCATTGCCTCAACTCTATTTATGTATTTGTTTATGGTAGCACCTGTCTTGTGCTAGATGCTTTGCAGATATTCAAGAACTGTCCTTCCCCCAGGAAACTTATCGTTTAAGGACAGAGAGACAAGTAGGTAGATGTTTGAAAGGGAAATAATAAAAGGACAATATTGTTTTAATTCACACCAGCAAGATTGATTAAAGGCAACATGTTGTTTTCAGTGTTGTTATAACCATGTAGGTCCAAAGATACTAGAGAGACTAGGTGAGTGATATCTTTTTGGACTAACTTCTGTTGGTAGGAAAGACAAACTTTTGAGCTTACACAAAGCTCTCAGTAGTAGGGGTTGAACCTCTCTGGTCCAGGACTCTCTGAGAGAGCTCTTGGATCAAAGAACCCTGGAAGCAGGGTGCAGAGCCGGGAGCCCTTATTGTTATTGAGTAGAGTGGAAGAATTACTTTTTGTGTCTTGCTCACAACACTCCCACTGATACATCTCAGAATGATGGTTGGGGTGGTTTTTTTGCAACAATATTAACTTATTGACTCATTTATTTTGTGATTCATAAAGACCCCCAGATTCCTTGCTGCAGTACCCCTTCCTAGGCAGTCATTTCCCATTTTGTATGTGTGCAATTGAGTGTTCCTTGTTAACTGAAGAATCTGTCCTTATTTAAGTTCATGCTATTTACTTCAGACCGTTTCTCCAGATCATTTAGAATTATAATCCTATCCTCCAAAGCAGTTGCAATCTCTCCCATCTTAGTATTGTCCACAAACTTTATTCTATGCTGTTATCTAAATAATTGCTAATTGGTTATTCTCTGGGAACAGTTTTCCACCCAGTTATGAGCTTATCATATACCAACTCCATCTAAGATGTATTTCCCTAATTTGTTTCTGAGATGTTCATGAAAGACAATATCAGGAGTCTTACTGCAGTCAAGCTATACCACATCCACAGGCTTGTTACCTTGTTAAAGCTATTAGATTGGTTTGACATGATTTGTTCTTGACAAATCCATGCTGATTGTTACTTATCACCTTTTTATCTTCTACATGTTTACAAATCAATTGCTTGATTATTTGCTCCATAATGCTTGGCGGTACTGAAGTTAAGAAGACTGGTCTGTAATTCCCTGTGTTGTCCTCGTTTCTCTGGTTACATAGTAGCACTATATTTGCTGTCTTCCAGTCCTCTGGAATTTATCTGTCTTCTATGATTTTTCAAAGATCATCTCTAATGGCTCAGATATCTCCTCGGTCAGCAATTTGAATATTCTAGGATGTATTTTAGCCTCAGATCCTACTTAATTTTTACTGTCATTCACTATGTCAGACGTCGGATTGCTACTAATTTTTTTGGTGAAAACCGGCATAAAAAGCCATTTAACACATCTACCATTTCCACCTTTTCTGTTTTTGTCTTTCCCCCCACATTGGGTAATGGGTCTACCCTGTCTGTCCTTGGTCTTCCTCTTTCTACAAAAACATGAGAAGCAAGTTTCTTGTTATCCTTTATATCTCTAGCTAGTTTCATCTCATTTTGTGCCTTTGCCTTTCCAACTTTTGTCCTTACATGCTTGTGTTATTTTTTATATTAATCCTTTGTAATTTGACCTAGCTTCCACTTTTTGTAGGACTCTCTTTTGAATTTCATATAATTGAAGATCTCCTGATTAACCAGGGTGGTTTCTTGTCATAATGCCTATCTTTCACAAGCAGCAAGATAATGTGTACTGGTGTCCATAATAAAGTCTGTTTGAAAAACCGCCACCTCTCTCAAACTCTCTTTCTCCTTAGACTTACTTCCCATGGGATCTTACCTACCAACTCCCTGAGTTTGCTAAAGTCTGTCTTCTTGAAATCCATTTATCTTTAGACAGCTGTTTTTCCTTCCTACCATTCCCTAGAATCATGAACTCTGTCATTTTATGATCATTTTCACCCAAGCTACCTTCCACTTTCAAATTCTCAAATAGTTCTTCCCTATTTGTCAAAATTAAATCTAGAACAGCCTCTCCTCTTATAGATTTCTCCAACTTCTGGGTGGGAGAAAAGGTCTCTGGTGCATTTCAGGAATTTGTTGGCTAAACTGTGCCCTACTGTATTATTTTTCCAACAGGTGACTGAGTAGTTGATGTCTCGTGTCACCACTAAAAGTGTTGTGATTTGGATAATTTTTTGGTTAGTTGTTTAAAAAGTAGCCTCAGCCACCTTTTCTTCCTGGTTAGATAGTCTACAGTAGACCCCCTACCATGACATCAGCTTTGGGTTTCTTTTGTCCCTTTTCTCCTTACCCAAAGACTTTCAACAAGTCTGTCTCTGATTTACATCTCAACCTCTACACATATATATTTCTCTGATGTACAATGCTACACCTCCTCCCTTTTCCTCTGCCTGTTCTTCCTGAGCAAACTGTACCCTTCTGTACCAATATTTTAGTCATACGTATTATCCCATCATGTCTCTGTGATGCCAACTGTCTCATAGTTGTGTTTATTCATTAGTAGTTCTAGTTCTTCATGTTTATTCCCATGTAGGAAGGTTGTCTAAGTGTAAACATATCATAGGGGTTCTTAAACTGATGGTCATGACCCCTCAGGGGATCTCAAAATTATCACTGTGAATTTTCAGTTGGGGACGTGCAGATACCACTGTGCCTCGTCGGGGACACAGCCTACCCCTTATGCCGTGGCTAATGAAACCCTATACTGGCCACCTGGACTCCAGCAGGGACCAATTTAATGGCCGCCTGAACTGGGCCCAGATTCAGGTGGAGTGCATCTTTGGCCACATGAAGACACATTTCAGGTGCCTGCTGACCCACTTCGACGT